TCATGAATAAATAAATAAAATCTTAAAAAAAAAAATAAAAGTATACAGCAGACAATGGGATTGAAGAAACAGTTATTCTAATAAGAAAAAGTGCTGTGGCTGACCAGTGAAAATTTGGCAACAACTGTGCCTCTGATGGAAATTCTGAGGCCTTCTGCTTTGCTTCCCCACAGCATTTCCACGGTGTAAGGTGCTTTAACAGAGAACGTGCATTATCTGATGTGGATTTCTTTTTTTTGAGAAGTGAAAAATTTCTCAAAGTGTTTATCATGAGAAGATAATAGGTTTACGGTGATTCTCCCATAAACAGACTGGGGTTACAGAAAAATACATTCTTGGGTTAGGACATGATCAACTTACTGATTAGATCAGTATTTTGGTTAACTATAAAAGTATACAAAACACAATGGCAAGAAAGTTTATATTTATGTACCTAACACCAGATCCTTGTATTTTTGAATAACATTTCTGATAGCCTATGGGGAGGCTGGAGATGTGAAAAAAGGGAAGGTTGGTTAAGAGTAATAATATAATATCTGGATCCACGTAACTGTGCCAACAGCATCCTTTTTTTTTTTTTTTAAGATTTTATTTTTATTTATTCACGAGAATACACAGAGAGGAGAGAGAGGCAGAGACACAGGCAGAGGAAGAGCAGGGTCCATGCAGGGAGGCCGACATGGGACCGGATCCCGAGTCTCCAGGATCACGCCCCGAGCCGAAGGCAGCGCTAAACCGCTGAGCCACCTGGGCTGCCCAACAGCATCCTTTCTTTCTTGTGGGATCCTCTTGGTCTTTTCCCCCCTTCCTAGATGACTCCTAATGTCCCTTCATCTCTCAAATTCTGTGATTATAGTGACTTGTTATAATGTTTATTTTTCAGGCTTCATTCACACGATTCATCAGAATGCTAGAAGAGAACCAGGACATTCGATTTCCACAGTTTGGAATAATACCTGCTTATTCAGCAGAACTTAAATCCTTTTTTGGAACAGAGAGACATATGAATAAAGTAAACTGACAACTGCAGCTATACCAGAAACCATAACTGTATTTTGTGTGTGTGTGTGTGTTTTAAGATTTTATTCATTTATTCATGAGAGACAGAGAGAGAGAGAGACAGGCAGAGGGACACAGGCAGAGGGAGAAGCAGGCTCCATGCAAAAAGCTGGACGTGGGACTTGATCCCGGGTCTCCAGGATCACACCCTGGGCCGAAGGCAGGTGCCAAACCCCTGAGCCACCCAGGGATCCCCTAGAACAGTATTTTGAATAGGAGGCAACAACCTATTGTTTCTGTTTGCAAAAGGTCAGTGCATTTTCTGTTGTTTCCAGAAACAATTTTGTTGTAGTCCTATCATTCATACTAATAAAAATATCTATCATCCCCTATCAGGATCCAAAAATAAATTAAGGGGGCTTACATAATATGGAATTGCATAAATAAAAAGTGAACATTGAGAACAGAAAATGAAACTAAAGAGCACACAAAATAAACCTGAAAGATGGTCCTAGTAAATCACCATAAGATCCTGCATTATACCTGCTTCTAAGGCGAACCCAAGTGCAGCATCAGACCTTCCAGTGACCAATGTGAATGAGGGTGTCTACCTGACAATTACATAATCCATAGAGAAAATAAAATGAAAGCAAAAGCTCAGAAATGCAGTCACTTGCAGTTGGAAGAAGCAAAATCTTCTGTTCAGGGGTCTTCATAAAGAACTGTGCCAACAGTAACTTTAGTAACTTTCCTTACACAGATGCAGTGGGCGGGTACACAGGGCTGGTACTCAAGATGATTCTTACTCGAAAATGATGGCATCCCAGCTAAGCAGAGGGAAGCACTGTAGCGTGATGTTTAGGAGAGACTCCAGTCCTATACTGCCGGAGTACAAATCCCAGCTCTGCTGTGTGACCTTGGGCAGGTTACTCTGACCTAGCTCAAATACCTACTTCTTTAACTGTGAGGTGGGGATGACAACAGCAATTTGCAAAGATCAAGCAAGTTAATAAGCATTGTATAATGTTAGCAATTATTAATGAAGAGCTTAGTAAAAGTAATTGGGGTGTGCACTGTCCTAACACAATTCAGTATGTAGCTCTACACTGCTCTGACTCGATCCCATAGATTTTAGAACAGTGCTGTCTTTAGCACAGTGTTTAGCAAAAATCTCTGCTATTCAATACAGTCATCTCCTTGTGGCTACTAGAAACGTGGCTAGTTTTGCTTTAAAATGTAAAATAGAGTTGGGTTTTAGGCTCAGATAACTGTGCTAATAAAGAATTTCTAATTTAATTTAAATAACCAGGGGATCCCTGGGTGGCTCAGTAGTTTAGTCCTGCCTTTGGCCTAGGGCATGATCCTGGAGACCCAGGATCAAGTCCCACATCAGGCTCCCTGCATGGAGCCTGCTTCTCCCTCTGCCTGTGTCTCTGCCTCATTCTCTCTCTCATGAATAAATAAATAAAATCTTTAAAAAAATTTAAATAACCACAATAAGTGGTTACTGCACTGGACAGCATGGATACAGAAATTCCAGAAAGTTTGAATAGTACTGATCTGTAAACATTTTCTAAGCAATATTCTGTAAATACCATAAGTTTTTTTTTTTTAAGGTTTTATTTATTTTTTCACAAGAGAGAGAGGCAGAGACACAGGCAGAGGGAGAAACAGGCTCTATGCAAGGAGCCCAATGTGGGATTCGATCCCGGGACTCCAGGATCATGCCCTGGGCCAGAGGCAGGCACTAAACTTCAGAGTGCAAAGGAATGGCTTGACCCAAAGTTCTACTTTGCTCAGCACAGTTGGAATTGTTTGGACCTGAAACATTTTAAAGGGTATTTTAACCAGATGCTGGCCTCTTCCCCCCACCCCCAGTGTTCTATTAACTTTGAAAAATGCTATTTCTCGGTGTATCCCCTAAAATAAATGATTTGGAAAAGGTATACCAAGACAACTAAATAAGAGAAGCTGTAGTATGAATGTTAAGTACCAGATAAAAGTAACAATTGCTAAAATCAAGAAAATGATTTCATGTAAGTCATGTAACATAAAGGCAAAATAAAGGGAAAGTAATTGATAATAAAACTGTATTTCAATATATAAATGCTTAGGAATAGACATACAAGAAGAAGCAATAAAGTCATCAGTACCATAATATAAAGAGAATTATATTGGTGACTCAATTATCACCAGTAACTGCTGTTGTTAACAAGATTTTTTGAAACAGGTACAGTTCTTTGACAAGTTTTAACAAAATAAAGTAGAATCCTCCCTCACCAATCTCATGGTTGTATTCTTGGAAAATACAGTGTATGTTAAAATGTTACTAAAAAATGAAAAATGGAGTTGGGTTTAAGGCTCAGGTAACGAAGTTTTTTGTTTTTGTTTTTGTTTTTTTTTTTTTAATGTTCAACAGAACATTTAAGAATCGTGACATATGGAGCAATTCTTTGTTGTGCTAAAACTTTGTATGTGCTGGAGGACATAAAACTTCTATGGTCCCTGCCCACTAATTGCCAGCAGTACCTCCAATCATTTCTAAACCATTGCTCCAAGCCAATCATGTGAATTCAGTCACTCCCACCCCCACCAACAACTGGTTCGTCAATCTAGGCTTCACTGTCCAGGAATGGCCTCGGTAGGCATGAGAATAGGTAACATGATATAATGTCAGCCAATGAAATGTAGAGGAAGGTTGCTGGGGGCCTGGCAGGAAGTTTCCTAAGAGAAAACCACAGGAAAGAGTTTCTTTTCTCTTCATGGTTACAAATGGATGTGAGACCTGGAAATTCTAAACTCATCTCAGAACCAGCTGGAGGATGAGGTCAACAAGCAGAAGGGCAGAGCCAGAAGCACAGGAGAACTGAGGTAAATCTGGATTGTCACTCTTGGGGTCTACTCTACCTCTAGACTTCCAGTTATATAAATCAGTAATTTCCTATGGTTTAAACCATTTTCAATTTGGATTTGGTTTCCAGCAGCTGAAAGCACTTTAATACATACATGAACAACTTTGTAAGACAAAGCATAAGGGCTGGTTGGAAAAAAAAAAAAAGCTGAACCAAAACAACAACAGGTGAATATTGTTCCTGGACTTCTATATAAAATATATACCAGTTATGCTTTTTTTTTTTTTTTTAACCTGTGGTAAATGAGCCTGCATGCTCTTATGTAAAGGAGCTACAGCATTCGTGACTGGTTCTGTCAAGTGGCAGGCATACTGTGGAAGAATGACCAACATGGTTCACACACACAGCCTGTTAGAACATGTGAAAGGTAAAAAGCTGTTTCATGGGAAAAGAAAAAATATAGCTACAGGTGAAAAAGTAATGCTGTCACCATGTGTATAAAAGAGTTCTATACAACACAGGAGGCACTGTGGACAGACAGGATAGTAACATGGGTTAAGGTCCTGCTTTCGTGAAGCTTGTAATCAGAGACAAATGAAAAAAAAAAAAAGTATGGTAACTGATGAGGAAAAGTTACATATTTAGGAACGCGGGTGGAAAATTTAGTAATGTATAGCTATGATGGCAGCAGGCAGGGTTCTAGATGACTCCACTGTCAAGTGCATGACAGACAGTGGGGCAGATGAAAAAAAGAAACTTAATTTGGGGATACAGCTTCAGCTTGGAATCCCTGTTCCATTCTGTCTTCTCTGTCGACTTTGGACCAGTAACACCCCCCATGTGTCAATTTTCTCACTTTAGAAAATGGGATAATATAGCTTGGCTTGGGGTACCTACTGATGGCATGAGATGAGACATGTCACATAAAATATGCAATAAAAAGGTACCTGATCATGGTAGTTATTATCACTCTTGAATCCACAAGCAATTCACCCAGTTTAGTTTCAGAGCACTTACAAGGCAAACATATGTGAAATTCTATATACCTGTTATATCAGGTTTGAAAAAAACTTTTTTTAAACAGGCAATTGCAACCTATTAAAAAGAGCCCTAAACTGAAAGAGAATAATGACACACTAAGAAAATGGATTGTGATTAAGAGACTATAAATACATTTATTGGTAGTATTACTGAATGCTGAATGCAAAGATTAAAATACAAAGAAACCAGCACTTAAAATCTTTAAAAAATGCAGTATCTCTACATAAATGTTAACCAATTCTGCTTCTCAATCTAGATTTACAAACAGGAAACGAATTCCAAAGCTTTCATTCTGAATATACTGATTTTGAGTTCTAGTGTTCTCCATTCTAACGTTGTCTTTTATTTTGCTGTGTTTTACCAAGTATGACTTACTTTGTTTCTATCCTAAAAACAAGACTCTGTAAGCTGATCCTGAAGCAGTCAGTTAAATCAGGAATTTTTAAACAGCTCTTTACGAGAGGATAAAGCTACATGAAAGAAAATGCCTCAATCCTACATATATAAATACAAGAGAAAATATCAAGAAGCAACAAGAATCACAGAAATGCCAATCCTATTCTAAACTATAGTTTCTACTTCTAGCAACAATTCAATTAACAGTAGCTTAGATGACTTTGTTCTAAAAAATAAAACCATTAGTTCTTTCACTACAATTTTATGACTATACTCCATGAATTATTATCAACTCTTCATATACTTTTTAAAAACTCAAGAATATGATTTACACATAACAGAATCACTAACAAAGGAGGCCTTCAAACACACTGTTGAAAGCTGCAATATAGTTTCAGAACCAGATTTCAATTTATATAATATTACCATTTGTAAAGAGTTTATGGCACCCAGTACAGTAGTGCTCAGCACTGTTACCTCAAAAATGCTCCATCCGTTCTTGCATCAGAGAATTACTGACACAGATGGGACTGTTATGACAATTCTAACAGGGCCTCTAAACAGGACTGCATGTAAAATAATTATGAACTGTGATACAATTGTGACAATACAGCTAGCCTATAGAACTGAATTTTTCACTATAATAATAGACTACAGAATTACAGTGACAATGACAGATGTCAGAATTATCTTTCCCTGATAACTATTGAGTAGAAAGAGTTTTCTGACTGTATTTTTGAGGAACAAGAGACCTTTGACATAAACACTAGGGGAAACTGAAAAGTGAACAAAATGAACTCAAGTTCTTTTTTCACAGATATTAACAACAGGCAAAGCAGTTTACAAAAAAGAAAACCAAAATTATCCTATAAACAAATAAATACAAGATCAAATCAATCATTTTTGAAGAAAATATAGCTCATTTTCAAAAGTTCTGTTTGGTTTGTAACTAGACTCGAAAATATTAAAATCAACCAAACAGATTCCCACAATATTGATTTGCTATATAGGACGTGAAAAAAGCACTTCAAGTTTTAAGCTTCATGTTTCATTCTTTCCCCTATTCCCAGAAAAGAAAGGAAAAGAAAAAAGGGGCTCTTGCAAAAATAAACAAAACCCAAAACCGGCCAACTAACAAAAAGTAAAATCATATAAGAAAACCGTTCTCATTTTGAACACTTCACTTTAGTTGGTCCCACATTAGGGGAAAGTTTCCATAGCAAGGACCCTCCTCATCTCTTCCTTTTATCTACCACTCTTCAGTTACCTCCACGTTGTCATCAAACAAGGCTTTGTGAAGGCTTTCCTAACAAGTTGGGCTGAATCAGAGGTAGCTTTAGGATGAAGTATACTTGACTATGATATGTGGTTAGTTCAAATGAACATGTTGTTTGAAAAGGATTTCAATACATAAAAATGCACAAAGAAAAACATATAGCCCTCACTGCCTTGCACTAAGAGAAAACTTGAGAAACTCAGAGCAAACAGTAGAAGCCAGGAAAGAGGCATTGGCCTCACCCCCATGAGCTTGTTTAATGCACCAGCTCAGGTTGGTTCTCCACGAAGGGGAGCACCCCGCTCACATAGTAGGCAATGCCAAGAGACAGCAAAGCGATGACAAAGATCAAGAGCAACACCCTCCAGAAGCCCAGATCCTCGACAAACTCCTGCCATGTGGTTCGGAAGCTGGACAGGACTCCTTCCCCTTGCTGCAGGTTGGGGTTGAGGAGAGAATGGCTTTCCATGGCGCTGTGAATGGAGCAGAGAAAAAGGAAAGGGGCATGAACAACACATTCCACCCATTTCAGAAAGATGCAACAGCAACAGACTTACTCAGAAAAGACAAGCCGCAATACTTATAAGAAGAAAACTGATCTATGTGTGCTCCCATACATTCACGTACTGAAGTATGCATCTGTGTGTATCTGGACAATCTACCTTCAACTATAAATTCAGCCCTGATGATTATGTTTCTTGGTTTAGTATCCAGCAGAGTCAGAGTTAAACATCCTCTTCTAATGAAAAAGTCCGAAGCAGAAGTCTTGACTGTAGGTCAAATGAGTGGTTTCAAACTCATAGTACCTAAGTAACCAAATTTTGGTTACTTTAAATTTAGAAGAATTTGAAACAAAGATTCATAATTTGAGAATGCATATTGATGAAAATAAGCAAAAATGGGTAAATCTAAAATAGATTTTTAGATTCACTTTTATACAGTGTGTGAATCTTAAGGTTTAAAGGAATTTTCACTTAGTTCAGTTACTTGACCAATGAAGGAATTCCTTCTTTTAACTGTAATCCTCTAAAAATGGACACTTAGCTCAGTCTGTTGCACATATGAACAGGCCTGGTCATTAGGAATTCTTCCTAATAGCTTCCTCCAGCTGGTTGTAGTTATATCTTGTACAAAAATACAAAATAAGTTTATTTTGCTTCTGCATAAAGGCTGAATCTAGTTGAAAATAAGGCAATACAAGTTCCATAAAAACAATGATTCTTGATTCTGGTTTTCAGAACTTTATCAACAAGAAATATGACCCCTACAAGTAGAAACCAGGATATCTGACTTTGGTATTTGGAAGGCCACATTTTGATGAATTCAAAGCTCTGAAGGATTAGCACCCACAATTATGTCACAACACACAGGTCCAATAACGGGCTATCATTTAGATGAAAGCCACAATGACCATAATCATATGCATCAACTATCTATTGCTTATAAAAGGTCATTTACCACCCTTCCTAAATCACTTCTCTTCATATTCTTCCAACCATCTGGGCATAGAACAATAAAACCAGAATAAAACACTCTCTTACAGTCTGGTTCACCATGCAAAAACTAGCATTTTTATTTAACCTACAAGTTTACTTTACTTCTTGACACTTAACCAGAGGTCCTTCAGCATTTACTGGTATTAGAGGTCTTCTCTAGTCATAGGAAGTGGACTTCCTAATGCGGCACTCTCCTTGACATCCAAACTTTTCTTTGCATATTAAAATATATAATGTGTGTGTGCAATATTTTTTGTACATGTGTCATCTACACTGCTTTGTCATCCTATAGCCACAAATTTAAAAATAATTAAATTTAGGATATATGGGGGAGTGGGAAAATATTTTTCATCATCTTGATTTATAGGACCTTAAGTTATGCTATATCTCAGAGAATCCTAAGGGTGATAGAAAATACTAAGTATACTTAAAACTTGCTTTATGTTCTGCTAATCATCACATAGCTTTGCCACAATGCCACGTGCTAGCCAATCCCACTAAGCTTTATTCCCCTTTTCTATTAGTATAATTCACATATAAAATTCATGTTGTACAATTCAGTGGTTTCTATATTGACAAAGTTATACAACCATCTCCACTAATTTTAAAACATTTTAATCACATCTATAATAAACTCTTTACCTTTTAGCCATCACTTCCCATTGCCCCTTCCACAAGCCCCTGGCAAACACTAATCTACTTTCTTTTTGCTGATTCTGAACATTTCGTATAAACAGAATTATACAATATGTGGTTTTTTTGACCAGCTTCTTTTATGGAGCATGCTTTTAAAGCTCATCCATAGCACATATATGTCATAGCACGTATCAGTAGTTCATTCCTTTTTATGGTGGGATATTCCACTAGATGCACAGATGACATTTAGTTTATCCACTTATCAGGTGATGGACTTTTGGGTAGTTTCCACCTTTGGACTATTATAAATAATACTTCCATGAACATTCATATATAAGTTTTTGCATGAACCCATGTTTTCAATTTTCTTGGGTACATATCTAAAGTGGAATTATTGGGTCACATAGTAACTGTGTAGCTTTTTGAGAACTGCCAGACTGTTTTCCAAAGCAGCTACTTTATGTTCCCACCAGCAATGTATGAGGGTTCCAGTTTCTCCACATCCTCCCCAATACTTGTTGTTGCTCCTTCTTTTTGATTATAGCCATTCTACTGGTATGAAGTGGTAACTTGCTAGGGCTTTGCTCTGCATTTGCCTAATGACCAATGATGTTGTCTGTAAGTTTTTTAATTTAAACTTCAACCACCACATATCTACCATGATACTGAGCGGCAGGATTAAGCTAGGGCAACTAGGTAGTATGAGTATTAGTGGTTCAATTTTTTTAAGAACTGGATTTACACAATGCTATAAATAATACAAATCTTTATGCTAAAGGAAGTAACAGGGATGTGAAAGAAGCAGGAGTAAATATTTCATATAGAGCAGCTCAGATGACTATTTCTATTGCTTAGTAACTAATCACAACCTAGGCAAAAGAAAGTTAAAAGTATATTTCTGGTAAGGAGGTGCCAAGAAACTGGCTACTAACAAAATATAGCAAGAGAGGTGCTAAAAACGTACTAAGCAAAAACACGTTCTTGGACGTTTTTCATGATAAAGAAGCTTAAAGTATTCATGAAAATAAATTTCAAGTTGTCTTGGAAGAATATGATCTTTTACAAATAATAGAAAACTCAATGCTGTCATATTGCTTCTGGCATCTGTCAATCCAGAGTACATGGATGAGAGCAAGGGGCTTGTCAATGTATCTTAGACATCTTGATTATTTTATATACTTGTCAGCTCTCAATCATACGTCACAAGCAGCATGCACTGTTCTACAAGTAAAACTCTAATTTCTTTGGACAGTAGTAAGTTCTTGAAAGTATCTAAACAGTCTTAAGTGTGAGAGTGGAGTTCACGGTTCCCAAAGAGTACGCCAGCCAGCACATGAAGAGGAAGGAAAGCAATCACTGGTACAATGGAATCAAATTAAGGGTCAACTATAAAAAATAGAGAGGATTTCAATTAGAGCTCACAGAAACCAGGATCTCAACAGTCAGAATGGACTATATGATCCTATTTCTAAGTCCTGATCAGTCAAGCTCCTGGGTCAACAGCTGATGAAGGCCCTTGAAATATATTCCACTGAAAATTTTGGGAGGAAACAATAGTAGGTTGATCATCCTTCCTACCTTGTAGTTTGTGGAAGGCTGAAACTCCATGGCAGCCAACAGACTCCATGCTAGCACAACTCAGTCTGACCTATGCACTTGACCTGGTGAGCCAGTGGGGCCAGGAGGAAAGACAGTCTGTCACCTTTTCAGAGCTCCCTGAACTGTGTTGTAAACTGTTCCTACATGAGAAATGAGATACTGAAGGCCCTATCCATTGCTACATCTTAGCTTCAGTTACTGACAGGAGCCCAAATGTCATTTGTTCCAACTCATGGGAAAGTTACTTTCACTTTCACATTACTGAACTGTGTGTTAAGTCTTCATTTCTCTTCTTGTTTTACTTTTCCCCAGCACTCCACTTGCCTGCCTTTCAAATGGCCTTTCTGGTCTTCTAATGTTGTCCAAGTTCCTAGCCTTACTTATCTTTCTCCTTCTTTTCTGAAGTCCATTCTGTTTGTGACCTGCACTTAAAATTCTCAAACTTTTGGGTCCTTCCCTCATATTCAGCTCTTAACCACCTCTTGTCCCTGGTGCTGACAATACCGCAGGCTTCCTTGCACAAGGGAAGACAGAACAGTATATGCATGTGGGCACGTAGTACTTTCTGTTAATAGCCTCTCGATTGTAATCTGGAGCCATACGGGCCTATATAAAGTTCAAAGAAAGTGTATCAAAGCTCCGTACTTGAAAGCAAATAAATAGAAAGCTCACAGAGTTGTCATAAAAGATCTAAGTGACTAAAAGGACTTAAAGTGACTTGCCCCTTAAAAAATTAAATTGTTAAGTACCTTTCACTCTCAGCTGTCTGCATGGTCTCCAGTTTTGAGTGAGCTCCTCTGTTAAATCCTTTCACCTCCTGTTCTTCCAAAGATTCTAGCAATCGGATGACATCTTTATTCACTCCTCTGCGCTTTGCCAGAACCAAGGGTGTAGCACCTTGATGATTGCTAAAAAAGTTCATAAATATAAAGAGGTCATTATACACCTGGATTATATTGTTAGTACCCATTTGTGTAGATCTCAGTGATAAAGGCATGGGCTGAATTGACTCAAAGCCCAGAGCAGAACCAATGACTGAATTGGAACTTGAATTCTGAATTAACCTATTTTTTTCCTTATAGGGAAAAAGGAAAGAAAACACATAGGCAAAAGAGTAAATAGCTGAGAATAAATAAAAGAAAAAGAGGGCAATTTCTTAAAAATTAATTGGAAAATTCTAGATTCTAGATTCATTCTTATCTGACATTTACCTTTTATGGCAATAGAGCATACATATTTTTAAACAGTCTAAGGATTAAAAATAAATAAAAGCCCAAAGCAACTAAATAAGCTACTTTGATTCACCTAGCTATTTAACACTAATAAGAGAAGATAGCCAAATAGCAGTGAATCCCATAGCCAATTCCCACCACATCTATCCATTACATCTGCCGTCTTTTTCAGATTTAGGTACAGTATAAAACCAATAATCAAGGCAACATGTAAGTGTAGTTTAAAGGTCAAGCTCAGTTTTAAAGATGGTCTGAAACCTTTTCCACTCCAGAGACAAGGTATCACTAAAATACTACTTCTTGAAACTACTCACTATAAAAAGGACTCTGAGACCCAGAGAGGTTACGAAGCTAGCATGGTATATTACATGATAGAAGACTAACAATTTGGAATCAGGCAGAACGAGGTTCAAATTCCAGCTGTGTGGCCTCTTTGTTTAAACCCTTGTCTCAACTACTACATCTGTAAAATGAAGAGAACACCAACCTTAAGAGCTATTCATTCTAAGGATTAAATGAGCGAATGTAAGTAAACACAGCACAGATTTTCAAAAAATGTTAGCTCCTTTCTTCTTTTTCCCTTGTCTGACAACACATGATTAATTAGTAGCAGAACTTCACCACTGTCTTCATAGAAAAACTTGTGCTGCTTCAGCATAAATCTAGAAGTCAGCCTCTTGTTTCCTCACTCCTCTAATGAGATTACCTTGTCCTCCATTCCTTGTTGAATTTGTCACTGCAGCTGATCAATGAGAAAGCAGAATTGATAGACTCAGATGACCACTGGTTGACAAACTAATGGGAGGAAATGACTAGACTTCAGAAACCACAGAGAACTTACCAAATATCAATTTTTAGTCCATTAGAAACTAAGAATTGAATAGTATCCACGTGGCCACAGAGATGGAGAGCTGTGTTTCCTTGATAATCTGTGGCCAGAAGATCAGCACCAAATTTATGCAACAGCTGGCAGATGTCTACATTCCCTCTGGCTGCTGCGAGGTGAAGGCCTGTTCTGCCCCTGCTGTCACGAATATTTGGGTCAAAGCCGCTTTCCAAAAGCCGCTTGGAATAGTTAAAGTCTCCATCAATACAGGCTTGTAGCAAGGGCACATTAGTCTGAGACGAATCATTTACAAAAACGTAGGACATTATTCTGGTGAAGTGGATGGAATATGCCTGTAATGAAACATGAGGTGAGTGAGATTTGGGAAAGCCAAACTAAATCACCACAATGAAGTCATTTAGAGAAGCACTATTTCTCTTCCTTCTTAGCCTCCTGCCTCTAATAAATTACCTCACCAAAAAGAAACAACAAAGTTATCAATTGTATTTTATTTCCCATTAAAATGTCTTATTTTCTTCATATCTGCTTGATCAAAATTGCAATTAAATTACTATAAAGCTCTATTTTGCTTTTCATTATGTAGAAAGATTAAGAGAGATCGTTAAAGGTAAGCAAGATATAATTGCTTAAGTTTAAGTTTACTGCATTATCAGAAGACATAGAACATGATCCTTAAACTTCAAACACATGTTATTGCTGGTAGAGATTCTAACTCAAAACAAAGCATATTTTTCACATATTTGCCTTTCATTATATTTGAGATATTCTACATGGTAAACAGAACTACCTGCTCAAAAGTTAACTAAATCAGCATGAAAAAAAACAATGAAATAACTTAATTCATATTCAATAAAGACCTGCTGAATGTTCTGTCTATAGCACAAACTTCCAATTTTCATAGAGAAAAGCTAAGAAAAGCAACAAATTGAATTTTAAAATTGGAAATACCATGAAATCAACTCAGACTTTTTTACAGTATTGATTCTATTCTGCTATTCTGTGATTATCTAAATATCAGATTTTGCCAAACCCCCATTGTCTAAAGCCTGAGACATGAAGAAAAACAGATCTGTCTGGGAATACAGAGGCAGCGCAAAGGCAGCAATCTGAAATGTGCCCACTCCAAATTTCATACATCTGAGTAACCTAGCTTCACCAGTGTGTCCATACCTCTTTCACTGATTCCTCCCTGCCCCAGCAGTCTCTTGGTTTGTGTGTATGTCTCCTTGACACCCTCTTGGTCCATTTAAGGAAAAATTAAAGCCTGACAAAACAAACCTAAAAAACTGAAGAGAAAACAAACCAAAAGAAGAAAAGACAAAAGCAGAGACCAATATGTTTATAGAGATGACTCCCTGACTCTACAGTTACAAAAGCTGAGTCACAGACAGGGTTGGCTTGTAATCTGTCAGCAAAGCCTTTCTTTCTGGAACACTGATGGAACCGGATGTTAGACTAATCTATTCTTGTGTCTAACCTCAAGGGGATTCAGGAAAGCATGGCTATGGAGTTTGGTGAGATTCTTGGCCACCACTCCTTTTAGCCTGGTTTTCCCAGCAGAGCCACAGGCCCTCTAGAGGTGGGCTACCATGAGAGCTCTGCTGCCTCCAAGGGTTCTCTGTGCAAAGGAGAAACATTAACACACACTAGGCCTGTTCTAAGACCGGCATCGCACCCAGGGCACCAAATGACTTTTACTTAATCTTCCTAACAACTCTATGATAAGGGTTATTATAATGAATTTTAGTAAGGAGACACTGAAAGATGTCAAGCCAAGGAAATGGCATGGTCTTATTAGGTTAAGTCTTTCAGAAAGATTACTCTGTCAGCAATAGGGAAAGGTTAGATTAGAGTGGGTCAAGGCTAGAGACTGGGAGATAGAGGTCACTGTTGAAATCCAGGCAAGAAATGATGACAGCCTGATCTAAAGCAGTGGCAGAGAGAAGGGAGTACACTGGAGAGGGACAGATAAGATAGAATTAGCGTAACTTAATGACCTGCTGCATAAAATGGGTGAGAAGGAATTATTAAGGATAATTCCAAAATCGGGAAATCTGCTAATGATTAAGAATTACAGAGATCAAGATAAAAGACTTCAGATTATGACACTATATAATGCTTTTTAAAGAAATTAACCCATTGAGGAGAAATTACTCATTAAAATAGTTAAGAATTCTCTTTCGAGGGTAACCTCCCGATTTTCCCCTACAGTATTCACAGGATTCAGTCATTAAAAAAAGGACAAAGTTATCAGAAGCATTTTAAAAAATAAAATGCCACATATCAAGTGCTTTTCAAGAGATAACATGTTTTGTTAAATTCTCTTAAGAATAGATAATGAAAAACAAGCTACTTGATAGTTTTGGTTCTAACACAGAAAGAATTCTTGTGGTTTGAGGATTTGGGATTGTTCTGAATGTTGGCTCAGTGGAGGAAAAAAAGGCCTTTCTTGCTTATTTATTTTTTTAAGTGAGAATAAGTGTGGTGTATTTTGTGATTTTCATTGTGTCCTTGAGAAACTAACTTTACATTAAAATTTAATAAGGCCAATGATAGATAACATTTTTATCTTGATCACAGAACTGAATGTGCCATAAAACAAAGCATCTAAGCTTTCACATAGTGTGAGGAAGTTGAAAGTAGAAAAATACTCACGTAAGCGTGAAGATTAGATCTTTCTTTCCGTGGTCACCCAGCAGTTTCTCTGAATTTTTAAGTAGGTTCAACAGAATATCCAGAAATGTGATGGGAAGGATCTATAGTAAAAAGAAACTTGAGTTATAGCAAGGGTGTAACATGAAGAAAGTCTAGCTGTTCTATTAAAACATAGAGAAGCTGGTGGGGCCTGTGAATATTCTCCAGAAAATCTATGAGTAAGGCACCAATTTGTGAGGCCAGTAGTAACTGACAAATAATGAGGCAGTAAAAAGGGAGAATAGAACTAAGGAGTGGTTCTGTTATCCACAAACAAGAAAGCATGGTCAGAAAGACAAAAGAAAAAGAATCAAATTATGTGCCATCAGTAGAAGACAAACTGGACTCTGAAAATAGACTCTAAATGACTGGGATTCAGAATGCATACTTTTCAAATTATAAATGGTGGCTAGGTCTCAGAGTAGCCCACAAAAGCATTTTTAGAATTAAAATGCTATCTGCATGGGAGTAAAAGTAAAAACAACCAATACTTATATTTAAACTAAGCAGGATACATTTAAGGAAAAGTATTTCTAATCCATCTTGAATGCTAGAACTTAAATCTCCTTCTGAGACTGTTCTTCTGCCCCTTTTGCTCTTCAATGTGAAAGAAATATCAGCTCAAGTCTATTTGCCATCTTTTCCACATGCCAGTCTTGCTCCTCCTGAAACGTGCTGCTGCCCCACCTTTATGCTCTTGCTGGGACCCCTTCAAAACTCCCCTCTGCACTCAGAGACACCTCAAGGACCTTGTCTGCCCCACCATACTCTTGTTGTGAGGAATCATGGAAGTAGGGTCATGCACAGGCAGCAGGGGACCACCAAAAAAATCAGTATTAATTCATAAAACAGTTACTAATGTGCTCAAAATGTGACAGATACTATGTGAAGTGGTAGGATATAAAGATTACAACCTGAATTTGTAGCTCAGGATGAGATTTAGGTTAACTTTTACTGGTCATTCATGCTCAATATTATCAAATCCCTATTTAAAAAACCTTGTATGGGAAATAATGTTATTTTATGAGGCTCCATTTAAATATGTAAGTCAAGTTGAATCATAAGGGTTATCAGTGCTAAACTGGAAGATGAGGGCTGACAAATTATATGTACCAATTTAGACACACTTCAAATTACTGAGCCACTTAATCAATTTCCTTGCACAAATATTCTTAGTTCACCCAAAGCATACTACCTTTATACTGACCACTTGGGGTTGAATCTCCATGACTAAGGCCTACCTCTAATATATGATTTTCAATCTTAAAATGGTGCAGGTGTTACTCTGAAGAGAGTACGGTTCACATTATGAAAAGGACAAGCTTTGCTTCTCATTTGGAGATAGAATTATAGATTACATAGTTACCTCTTCAAATGACCTGTTAAATTCGTAAGATAGTTCCTCAACTGATGGTTCCCAGAAGGTCAGTGGGTGGGGGGAATGGATTAAACAGGTGATGAGGATTAAGGAGTGCACTTGTGATGAGCACTGGGTGTTGGATGGAATTGCTGAATCACTATAGTGTACACCTGAAATTAGTATTATACTGTATGTTAACTAACTGGAATTTAAATAAAAACTTAAAAAAATTCACAAGAAATATAATGCTTCTGCCATTCTCTTTTGATGACAAGCCCCATATGAAAGTACATTTGATCAAATTACAGATTTATTTATGTGATTTCAAACTTAATATTATACAAATGCATTAGACCTAATTATACTTGAAACCTGCCAAGAAAGTGTCTAAAACCCAAATTAGAACTTAATCACTAGAAATCTATTAATAGCTTCTCAAGAAGTTATGAAAGTAATTCAGAACACATAACTATGGTTCAAGGGGTGAAGAAGACTAAAGATTTTTTAATTAAACTTTTTGAGATAATTGGAGATTCACATGAAGTTGAAAGAAATAGTACAAAGAGATCCTGTGTACTTTTACCCAGTTTCCCCTGATGTTAATATCTTACAAAACTAGAGTATCACAACTAGGATACTGACATTGTCAAGATACAGAACATTTCCATCACCACAAAGCTCTCTCATATTGCCCTTTTACAGCCACACCTACTTCCCTCCCACCTCCACCCCACTTCATCTCCTGGAAACCACTATCCTGTCTTCCATTTCTAGACCTGTCATTTCAAGAATGTTATATAAATGGAACCATACAGTATGCAGCCTTTTGGGGTTGGTTTTCTTTTTTTCACTCAACATAATTCTCTGAAGATTCAGGTTGTTATGTATATCAATAGTATCACTCTTTTCTATTGCTGAGTAGTATTCTATGGTATGGGTCTACCACAGCTTGTTAAGCCATTCACCTTTTGAAGGACATCTGGTTGTCTCCAGTTTGGGGGTGTTATGTTAAAGCTTCTAAAACATTCTGGTACATATTTTTAAGTGAACAAACATCTTCATTTCTCTAGGAAAAATGGCCAGGAGTGCAACTGCTGGTATGGAGGCTTAAAGATTTGGACTAAAAGACAGTCAAGTCTGAAGATGCCTAATGTTCCCATTAAAAAAAAAAAAAAAGTAAGATCTTCCTTGGGATCATCTGTCTGGGTGGCTCAGGCAATCAGGACAGTGAGAAGTTATTTACAGAAGAGTTTGTTGGACCATGCATTAATAAGGGCCCCGAGCATTTACCAAAGGTACTGTGTAGTAAGAACCATTCCACAAGCAGAGTTATAAACACTAATGTATGAGTATGAACACTGAACTAGTATCTTTCAAGATTCACAGAGGGCTGAGTCTGTTCCCCTGTAAATGAACATAAAAGCTAAGCATAGTGAAGACTGCTTTTCAAGGTAGAAAAAAACAGGAAGGAAAAAGATAAAATGTGGTCTGATTTTCCTGAGGGACTATTTTTAGGAGTGTATAATACTCTAGAAAGGCAGTTTTTCTAGTGTCAGAGGTTGTTAAAAGAGCTTGGCTACCTCACCCAGAATGTATCTGGAGCTAGACTGCCAGAATCCCGGTTCAGGTACTTACTAGTTGAGTGACTTAAAGACTCAAAAAACAATAGTTACACCTTCCTGAGGATGGGCACACCTCTGGGGGGGACAGCTCTCTACTGTACGGAAGATAGCCTGCATGGAACATTGAGCTTTGAGCCCCTGGTAAACAGAGCAGCATCTAGCAATGGAGTGACCTCTAGTGGGGAGTAAAGACCTCCAAGAAAGGAAAAGAGAACTGGTTCCTGGCAGAAGAAAATCCACAAATTGTGGAACTGTTGAGTCCCAGAAAATCCTCTCCTTGTTCACCATAGCCTGCCTGGTTCCTAAGGGACAGTGTCCATGAGGCGCAGTGACTATTTTGGAGGCCAATTCCCTGGGACTGTTAAAAGGAAGACTCTGAGGTTCATGTCTTGAAGGGCTGGCACAGCTTAGCATTTAAAACTCCTCACTCCATGCCCTGTGGCACTGCCTGAGACTTCATGAGGATGAAGCCACTCATCCTTTAGGATGAAGCAGTCACCTTGTTAGGAACGAGAGGTCCTAACACCACACAGCACTTGTCTCAATCCGAATGACAAAACAATAAGAAGGTTTTAGTGGAAGCATGATTGATGGAAAAAAGTCCCAGTTAATATTTTTTTATATATTTTTCTTTTATGTTAATATTGGGTCATAACTACATAACTTTAAGATAGTATCTCCTTGATGGTTAAGAACTAATGGAGAAAACCTGTTGTATTTTAATATATACTCATTAAACCTAACTTTAAATTGGTCTACTAGGGCAGCCTGGGTGGCTCAGCGGTTTAGTGCTGCCTTCAGCCCAGGGCATGATCCTGGAGACCCAGGATCGAGTCCCAAGTCAGGCTCCCTGCATGGAGCCTGCTTCTTCCTCTGCCTGTGTCTTGACCTCTCTCTCTCTCCGTCTCTCATGAATAAATAAAATCTTAAAAAAAAAATAAATCGGTCTTCTATATTGAGTATTACCAACCATACATAATGTATTAATTTATTTTTCATTTTGAAAGGCCACTGGGAAAGGTAAAACTAAGTGCTAAATTCTTGGTTCAAGTGGACTGACATTATGCCTGCATAGCAACTTTGATCAGACACACTTCAGCAAAATGCAAGGGAAAAATGGCATACCTGGAGAGACACATTATCAGATCAGACTGCCTACATTTTCTAATGTCACAGAGAAGTATTAAAACTCAGAGCGCTATATAGTAAATGGAAGCCCAAATCTGGATTCTTATACCTCATGTGGTTATTCTTAAACTTTTAAAAGGATACAGTTGTTTTAAAATATAAAAATAACCTCAAAGAACCATAAAATAAGAACTTCCAATGAAGTCATTATAAGCAGGGTTACTGAAGGATCACCCTGGAGAACTGTTAATGAGCAGTAGAGATTCTTGAAAGATTGGTTTGATAGTTTGATGTCAAATCTTGAATGCTAAATTAAGGAATTTGTACTTGATCATGATAGTAATCAGGCCTTTTGGGAGCAGCAGGTCCAGTTATGTGGACTAACTGCTAGCACTTGAGAGTTACTGTTCTTAAAATCCAAGTGCTGCACAGATCTACAGATATTAGGCAAAGAAAAAAGCTGTATCTAAAAGAAATCTAGCTCTGCACAAGTAAAAATGTTAACAATTTAATTCCTTCGAAACATTAATATTTCTTCAGGCTGCTTATCTTCAATAGCCGTATTTCTCTAATAAAGTCTCCTAAAAATTATCAAGGCTCAGAGAAGTTAATGAACCTAAGGCCACACTGCTTTAAGTGGCAGAGCGGGCTTCAAATTTAGTCCACAATATTTCTAATATGCCATGCCACCTCTATACAGTTATCAAGATGATCAGTAGGAAATGGTTCATACAAAGCTCGGTTGCTTGTTTATAACTGTTTGCGAAAATTCCTGCCAGACCTTGTCTCTAATATGCCAAGAGATGGGTCTGAGATGTCTGTGTATCCTTGCAGATTATATACTGCCTGGCACATTTTTTTTTTTTGAAATCTAGACATGAGAGAACCCAATAATTCTTTGTGAATTATATACTCAAATTCATCTTATTAACAGGATTTTAACATAATATTT